AAAAAAAACACTCAAAATAACCACAAAAGCGACAAAATGAACAGGAAGAGAAAGAAAACACAAAACTGTTTTGGGGTTTACGTATTTTATAGAACAGACTGAACAAATCTCATTGATCAAAGCTGATCACTCTTTCAGATTCTCCTCTGATGGTGTTCAGTTCTTCTTCTGTCACTTTTAATTCTTTCAGTAAATTGAATCTCATGCGTCTATGTTAGTAAATGATTTTGCCACAGAAGGAGCCGTGTCTAGAAGATGATTCTGGTGTCAAATGCAGGTAAATATGAGACTTTTCACTGTCTATAACTTGGTCTGACCAACCATCTGTCACACATGCTGATATGAGCCTTGAAAGTTTATCCAAAGCCCACTTTTTAAAGTTTTCTCTGCTGAATAGTCCAACAACAGAAAACACATCCAGGTTACTGATGCTTGCTGTCATAAACTGCTGCAGGTTTCCTGTTGAAACTCTGATATATCCCATAATATTGAGGCTCAAAGCTGGTTATAGAAAAAATGAACCAAAACTGGATTTAGTCTTTAGATATGTGACGCCTGGACGGATGTAAAACTGATCTGGTTGCAGTTTTTAACAGAATTCAAATGTGTTTTCTATTCCTGAAAATTATTTGATCTCCTGCATGTATAAAGTTATGAGGCTCAGAAAAGATGGAAAAGTGTTCAATTTGAACCGACCCCTATGTATTCAAGGGGGAAATATTCATACTACAAAGGTAAAACTTTGCGTGGCGTCATTAAATACACTAAAGTTACTGTAGATAAACAATCAGCTAATTCTAGGGAGGGTTTGAAACTTTTCATGAATTGACCATCTGGCGTCTCTTTTCCTTCCCGCCTCCTTCTGTCTCTGTAGAATCTGATGTCATAAACTCTCTGGCAGACTTGAGTCAACATATGATTGTATGTTAACATTTAACCTGAAATCCAGAGGTGCAAATTCACAAGAAAAAAGGTGACTGACTGACTTTCTGTATGTGCAGCAGTAGAGGATTAGCTGGTGCAGCTCGCTGCCTGTAATTAACACAAACAAGTCAGATTTGTAAGAGACAAGAGAGCTAATTAGAGCACAGGACGATGTGGGAAACATGAAACAATGCAGCAGGGATGGGATACGAATAGTTGCTCTGTGAATGACAAAACCTCGGGTCTGTTTGGACAAAACCACCCAGAAAACCTGAGAACGTTAGTCAGAGTTTCAGGTCAATTCTGCTTCACAACAACTTTACGACATTTCCCTCGACAAAGATACCATCGAGATCCGAGCACGGGGCAACTGCAGCAAGTAAACAGGTTGACTGTTTGGCCACGCTGGTGTAAAACGGCTTCAAAACACACTTCTTGTAACTAAAACATTGCGTTTTAAACTAGTTTATACTTAAACCTAATGAAACACAAAACAATTCTGCGCTTTTAAATTCTTCTTTAAATTACATTTTTGTGTTTCTTTTCACAGGCCTTTAAAATACAGAGCGGTGGGTCCAGTGGGTCCACTTTTCATTTCCTTTTTCCATCATTTGTGGGCCCCATAACTTCATCGGTACAGCAGACAGAAATTTTAAAGGAATGAAAAACACATTTGAATTGTTTAAACCTGCAACTACATCAATTGGTCAAAACTAGTCAGAGCAAATTAAAGGTCTCCTTTTCACCTACATTTTGGGGCTCATATTCCAGCCACGATTCCTTTTCTCTGGTTTCAAGTAATTTTGGACAACTTATGTCATTATATACACGTTTCAAGACATTCTGGATAAGTTTGGAATCATTTTGGTTATGTTTCGAGGCATTTGGGGGTTTTTTGGGGATTTGTTTTATAACATTTTGGACAAGTTTGGAATTGTTTTGGACAATTTTTTGAAAGATTTCACAAGTACAGGAGATTGACATTGAAATTTTTTAGGGCTGAAAAACAAACTGCAACTGAATCAAATTTAAATCCACTCTGGATGTCACAATCTGGTCAAAACAAGGTATCACAAATCAAATGTGTCATTTTTACCTATACTGCTTCTTACAGTGTTTTCTTTCTTTTCTTTTTTTTTTTCTTTTTTCAAATCCTGTTATTATTCAAATTGTCCCTGTTTTGTTAAATTACAGATAATAAGACTAAGTAGCCCCCTACACCGTGTACTGCTGCAACAAACATTTTCACTCTTTAACTGTGATCTCTCACATTCATGTAAAACTGCTTTAAAACACACATTTTGTCAGTCAAACCTCCAGTTTTAAATTCTTCCCCATTTAAACAAAAGCAAAGCAGAACAAAATCATTTGAAATAACTGTAAACATGAGACACGACTAGTTCTCTCAGATGTGTGTGAAAGTCTCAGGAACAATTAAACATCAATTTTATCGGTTGTTTGCCATCATGTCATTGATTCGTCTGTGATATTGGATCAGACTGTCTACCAATATTTTGGCTTCTGTGATAAACTTGTCAAAGCTGCTCCATAACTTTTCAAACTAAAATAACTTTCTTTTCAGTATTTTATACTAAAAGTATTCTATGTGTTTAGTTTTGTATTATTGTGATGTTCAGCTGACTTCTGCATTATCACATTTTTTATACCAACTTGTTTGACATTGCAGGTTCTGAATCAATGACATGATAAGAAACAACAGTGAAAATGTGAAGCTTTTATCTTCAGTACTTTCTGAGATACTGTCGTTCAAACAGCCTCAAATTTTAATGTGCAAAAAAAAACACTGCTTCAAGTGGGTTAATGGGCAATTTTTAAAAAAAGTTTATCGAAAAGTATTTTAAATATCAAGCTAAAGTTTTACAAATATGTTCATAAATGTCCATATTTTATGCAAAAAACATTTAAACATTTCAAGCACATCAGAAGTAAGAATCTGAGGCTCTGATGTTTTCAGGCTGATTCTCTGAATGTTTCTTCTGATGAGCTTCAGGTTCTGCTGTTCTCGGGTGCTGTCGGGATGAGATATGATAGCAACGGGGTCAGTTATATTTGTGAAGCTTTATGTTATGTTCTTAACCTTCTCTTCTCCCCTTTTTCCCTTGTTTCTCTCCCTGCAGTGCATCAGCGGCATTAGTTTTCCTGCTTTCCCTCATGCGTCTGTACAAATGGCTGTTACAACTAAAGCCTGTGCTAACTTTCTCTTTCTTCCCTCCCCCTCCATTCCTCCCCTTCCATGTCTCTCTGCAGTGTGGTTGCACTTCTATCGTGGAATTCTTTTGATATTCCATCTATATACATATAGCAATCAGGGCAGTGCTTGTTTTTTGTTGATGTATTGTATTTATGTATATATTTGAGGTCATGGACGATGTGCAGACGCAAACTTTAAAGTGATTTCTCAGCGTACATCTGATCAGCGTTGTGTATTTCCTGTCCTCTCCTTCATTCCCCTCCCTCCATCTTACAATTCAAAACAAAAGCTTCCCCAGAGGTCAAAGTTGAAAATAGCACAAGATCATTGGTTGAGAGCGATGCTGAGGCCTCAGTGGAAACTGCAAGGTGCAGTGTGAGACAGAAACATTTGGAGTTACAGGTGTGTAACTCCTGGCCGATGAGAAGTATGTGTCATGATGATGATGGCATATATAGACTCACGCTTCTATATATGAATTTAGCTCAGTTAGCAATCCACAGAATGCAAGAAAACAGTATCGCTCACTGCAAGCTCTTTATTTCCTCTCAGTGTCATACGTTAAAAAACACCTAAAAATCTAAATTACTGCAAAACCAAATCCATCAAAATTCACAATAATCTGTGATTTCAAGTGAAGAGTGGAAATAAAAACAATGCAAGACAAAAGCTATGGCCGATACAAAAAAAGACAAAAAAACAAAACAAACAAAAGACACGCATGCAATGAGCATTGGGAGAAAGCATGCAAAAATACAAACATTACTGCAGCTATCGTTGTTTTCTGAAGTACTGTTTAGACAGTTTGCCTGCGAGTACTGAGAAAACACCAGAGCTCTGGCCAACCTTACCTGGAGTCACGGGTCCATGAAGCAGAGACCGACGACTCTGACCTCTGACCCTGTGACCTGCACACAAACAGCAGCAAAGCAATGAGGAGGTTCTAACTGAGTTTTCTTCATCCTCTGGACTCTGTAGCATCTTTGTGCCATGGAGCCTGCGTGGAGGTGGACTCGGACACGGAGGCCGTGGCCAACGAAGGCTTCAAGCTGGGCTGCATCTCCTGTAAGATGAGAGGCGAAGTTCCCGCCACGGCCTCCGTCAAATGGTACTTCAAGGCTTCAGATGAGACCGAATTTTCAGAAGTAAGAGGTCAAATGATGCAAGAAAGTTTTGAAAATGTTGCACTCTGTAAAGAAACAGTTTCTTGTGTTGAGAAGTAGCAGAGAAGATCGATCCCACTCTTGTGTCCGTACAGCAAATACAAGCGCAGAACTAGAATACAGCTAGCCTTGCTGAGCACAGTGACTAGCTAGAATTTTTTTTGTTTCAAAAACATTCTGAGAAAGTTCTGCAAAGTTCTACTAATATTTCAGCCAAAAGTTTTCTTTTAGTTTCGCAGAATGTTCCTAAAAGTAGGATAATTAAACAAAATATTCACGTTTTGGTGGAACGTTGTATAGATTCTGTCGTGTGTTACATCAACGACAACATCATCAGAACATTACAGGCAGGATTTTCCACTTTTGCTAAAATGTTGCATTCCTTTGTTATCATTGGGGAAACATTTCGTAGAAGAACATTCTATTATGTGTTCCCTCAACAACGTTGTGGAAAAAATCCTCCGGGGCCTCAGTTTTCAGTTGTTGGTTTGAAAACGTTTCTTTGTTATTATAGAACTTTTTATATTACATCATTATGTTAACTTTATAGGTTACTGGAAATGAAAATAAATTAAAATGTACAATGAACATTTGAAATATTTTCTTTAAAAAAATACGAAACTTGGAGGTACTGTTAGCTGATATACTGGAAACGTTTCATGCTAGCTGGAGAAGCAGCTAGCTTGGTCTTTTAAAATTCAACAAATCCACCAACACCTTTAAAGCTCACTGACCAACACTTTTAACCCTGTCTGTTTATTGTGTGCAAAAACCAAAGTGTTAAAATACCAATTTGTTGCTATTGCAGAGCCTCACAGACTTGGGTGGATGACGAAATATCTGAATTCTTGTAGCCAATAGAAAACATGAATTGGGTTGAGTAACAATAACAATTTGCCTGTAGCTGTTCCATGTGTCCACAAGGGACTTTTTTCAGGGCTTAACCAGAGCAGCTGTCCCGCTTCCCAACAACATTTCCAGTTTCTCCTCTGGGATCCCAGGCCAGATGAGATATGTAATTCCTTCAGCAAGTTCAGAGTCTACCCCCGAGTCTCCTCCCAGGTATCCTAATCAGATGTTGAACCAACTCAGCTGGATCCTTTTGACACAAAGGAGTATACTCCTCACCTCATCTATACGGCCGGTGTTAAGCCTTATGCCTACTCCCTTGCAAACGCTCACAGACGCATAGTTGTTGATATTATATTACATTTCCAGTGAGTGTAAATCCACTTGGGAGTACCTGTCTATGTATTCTACATATACAAGCTACTGCCCTTGTAGCATAGACATTAAAAATATAATCTGCGTAGACCAGTAGTGCGCATGCTTGGACTATGTAGACATGACCTACTGCACATGTAAGCAAAAGAGTCTTTCAAGGAGTATAATCAAGGTTTAATCAGATCGTTCAAGATATCCCTCTTTCCTGCAACATTTTAAAGTTGTTCCTGGGGGATTCTGAGGCGTTATTAGGCCAGATGAGATATACACTATATTGCCAAAAGTATTTGCTCACCTGCCTTGACTCACATATGAACTGAAGTGACATCCCATTCCTAATCCATAGGGTTTAATATGACGTTGGTCCACCCTTTGCAGCTAGAACAGCTTCAACTCTTCTGGAAAGGCTGTCCACAAGGTTTAGGAGTGTGTTTATGGGAATTTTTGACCCTTCTTCCAGACGCACATTTGTGCGGTCACACACTGATGTTAGATGAGAAGGCCTGGCTCTCAGTCTCTGCTCTAATTCATCGCAAATGTGTTCTATCAAGTTGAGGTCTGGACTCTGTGCAGGCCAGTCAAGTTCTTCTACACCAAACTCTCTCATCCATGTCTTTATGGACCTTGCTTTTTGCACTGGTGCACAATCATGCTGGAAGAGGAAGAGGCCATTTCCAAACTGTTCCCACAAAGTTGGGAGCATGGAATTGTCCAAAATCTCTTGGTATGCTGAAGCATTCAGAGTTCCTTTCACTGGAACTAAGGGGCCAAGCCCAGCTCCTGAAAAACAACTCACACCATAATCCCACCAAACACCAAACTTTACACTTGGCACAATGCAGTCAGACAAGTATCGTTCTCCTGGCAACCGCCAAACCCAGACTCGTCCATCAGATTTCCAGATGGAGGAGCATGATTTGTCACTCCAGAGAACGCATCTCCACCGCTCTAGAGTCCAGTGGCGGCGTGCTTTCCACCTCTGCATCTGATGCTTTGCATCGCACTTGGTGACGTATGGCTTGGATGTAGCTGCTCTACCATGGAAACCCATTCCATGAAGCTCTCTACACACTGTTCTTGAGCTAATCTTAAGGCCACATGAAGTTTGGAGGTCTGTAGCAATTGACTCTGCAGAAAGTTGGCGACCTCTACGCCCTATGTGCCTCAGCATCCGCCAACCCTGCTCTGTCAGTTTACGTGGCCTACCACTTGTGGGTGAGTTGCTGTCATTACCAATCGCTTCCACTTTGCTATAATACCACTGACAATTGACTGTGCAATATTTAGGATCAACTGTGGAATATTTAGGATCAACTGGACGACCGGACTTGTTGCACAAGTGGCAACCTATCACAGTACCACGCTGGAGCTCCTGAGAGCGACCCATTCTTTCACAAATGTGTGTAGAAACAGTCTGCATGCCTTGGTGCTTGATTTTATACACCTGTGGCCATGAAAGTGATTGGAACACATGATTTTGATTATTTGGATGGGTGAGTGAATACTTTTGGCAATATAGTGTATAATACCTTCAGCAAGTTCAGGGTCTACTGGAGTCGCCTACCAGCCATAGGCCAGTAGTGCTCATTCTGCTACTACTGCTGCACATGTATGCAACAGAGTCCTCCAGGGAGCATAATCGAGGTTTAATTTCAGGGTTTTCATTTTACAGTTCTTCTTTAGGGATCCTGAGACCAGATGGATATTTATGCCCTTCAGTAAGTTCAGGGTCTACCTCAGGGTTTCCTCCCAGTTGCTCTGAAAACTTCCAAAGGAAAATTCCTGGGAAGCATCTTCATCAGAACCAGAACCAATTCAGCTGTATCTTTTCAACGTAAGAGGTCTAGCAACTCTACGCTGAGCTCCCTTCGAGTGTCCAAGATCACCACCCTACTCTTGCGGATTAAAAGCATCCGTGAGTGTACTCAGTTGTCTATGTACACATCCTCAAGGGATTATAGTCAAGGCTTAAGCCCAGTCAATCTTGAGCCCAGTCACAGTTTGGACAAAATTCATTTTGGCTGCTTGCATCCGAGATCTGTCTTTCAGTTACCATCTGGAGCTCATGACCATAGGTGAGAGTAGTAATGAAAACAGACTGGTAATCCGTCTAGGTTTTCCCATCTATCTTCCTCGACATACTTAAACACCTTCACTTAGGGAAGCAAGTAGTGAAACTCAGCAAGATTTTACCTTCAGTTCTTCCACAAACTGGGACCCAGTATGTAGCATAACAAATCCTCATTCGTCATACAAGGAAACAAGGAATTACAACAACTAGACCAATTTTCTTAAACACTCAAAAGGATAATAGAATGTATCTTGTACACAGTTTCGTTTTAACTAACAGACAAAAGTTAACCCTAAATTTCCTGCATTAGTCCTGATGCAGGACACATCACAAATAGCATATAAGGGAAAACATAAATAGCGTGGATGTCATGTAAATTTGAGGTCCTGAGAGGAAATGAGCATGGAGCCAATTAAAAAATAAACATCAGTAAATCAGTGCCTGTTACTTTAAATGCTGCCAGTTTTCTCCCGGATGTAATTAGTATTTGCATCTCACGATAAATCGAAAGATACACCAGCACAAAGTCTCAAACACATTTCTCACAGCGGCCTCTTTTCCTCTTCTGGGAAACATTCATAATGCATTTACCGTGAGGGAAGAGCACAGGCTTGCATTTTTCATGACAAGTGTTTTATCTGCTCTTTGTGTCGACTGGAAGGCGGCGTTTTTACTCACCCGAGGAGCCCTAATCAGGCAAAGCAAAAAGGCCATTAAAGTATTATACCTACAGCATGAGAGACCCCATTAGTCCTGAGCTGCCCTTTAGAGTCTGTATCTACTGATTCAGCAGGAAGTGCAGAAGTGAGACCTCAGAAGCAGCTCGGTTGATACAGACAACAGTTGCAATGGTGTCTCTTGACCCGTAAATGCAACCAAGACATTTAGGATACGAATATTCACATCAAGGCTGACTTATTTTACGCCTGCTGCAGTCCAAGAAAAACCAGTAGCTTTGTGTTGACTCCACGTGACGTGCCAAGTTAGAGGTGATTCTACAACCGAGCCTCAAACTGTCACATTGTGGCTGCATGAAAAGCTGCTGGAGGGCTTGAAAATGCAAACAAGCCTCCTTAAAGTGCACAGTAAAGAACAGGTTGAACAACAGCCACACGACAACCACACCTGTCTCTGAAATTCCGTTTTTCACACAATGTCTTTTTAGGCTAAGAAGGTCATTAATTTCTGTTCTACTCTGAACAGCCAGGGGTAGTGAACAGAAGCATTAAACTCTACTCAACATGCAGCAGCAGAGATCCCAGCAGGCAGAGGACGTTTCACAACATTGGCTAACCTTACCTACAAGTTCTAATCATGTTTCAAAGAAAAATGTCAGCCAATGTTCCCCGTTTGCTGGTAAATGTGCTGTATGCCCAACCACATTGCCTAAGATTACCTACAAATTCTAATGAGGATTTTAAGCTTGAATGCAATGTTCAGAGAACATTTGAAGGATATTTATGATTTCCTACAATGTTCCAATGAATCTATCAGCTGCAACTTTTAGAGGATATTTGGAAGATATTGTCTTTAAATCAACATTTAGAAAAATGTTTTCCAGATGTTTGAGGCCTCAGATGATGTTTATTAAGATATTCTTGAAATGTGGTATGTTAACAAAGTTGGAACATTCTTCTCGAGGATATTAGGGTAAGCTGTTGAGGGAAAACATTATAGAACGTTCTTCAACAAAACATTCTCATCAACATTGTCATGATAACAAAAGAAAAAAATGGTACTGAGGCCTTAGATGATAGAATGTTTAACATACAGAACGTTTTATAACATTCCTGTAACGTGATATATTAATAGGTAGGACATATTGATTTTGAAGAAACACATTATAGAACCTTCTTCTATAAAAACCTTTCCATGGTGATAAGAAAACAAGGAGGTACTTAATGAAACATTTGGGTAATGTTCTCAAGATGTCGAGGGGTCAGATGACAGAATGTTCTTTGGAAGAATTTCTTGTAATGTAATATATTTACGAAAGTGGAACATTGTGCCTGCAATGTTCTGAAGACATTATGGAGATGTTGTTAAGGGAACATGTTATAGAGTCTATAAAAAGTTTCCATATCGTTACATACTAACAAAGAAAGAACGATCTCAGCGTAGAACGTTGGGGCGTAACAGTTGAACAATGTTCTCACCAAACCTTTTAAGAACATTCTGGGAACTAAAAGAAAACATTCTGCCAAAAACATTAGTAGAACTCTGGCAAACTTTCTCAGAATATTTTTGGAACCAAAGAATTCTAGCTGGGTGGGCAGCATCATCATGTTTAATGGCTACACTTATAAAAATATTCAAAGATCCAAACTGAAGGAGGTTAACTTTAATGCTTTTAAGAAAAAGAGACCTTTACACGTCACCTGGACAAGTTGCAGTTTTGTTTATTAATACATAAACCAATTACAAATCAGAGATCATTAATCTGATTCATAAACAATTAGACAGACGTGCTCGATGTGAGGCTCGTCATTGTACAGTGTTGATGTGGAGGTCAACGTTTTCTGTATATGATGATTAGCAAACAGCCGTTCAATGCTTCCTGTTGTCTTCACTGAGTGTTTATGGTCTTCGTTTTTCGCCTCCTGTTCCAGTTATACATCTATGAGAACAAATATGGCGACATCATTGACCCGCGTTTCCACGAGCGTCTGGACTGGAACGGCAGCAAGAAAACCACGGACCTGCAGGACGGCTCCATCTTCATCCTCAACGTGACCTACAACGACACAGGAACCTACCGCTGCGTATTCAACCGGGTCCTCTCGTACGTCAACTACGAGTTTGAAACCAAAACCAACAAGACCATCGTCATGAACGTGGTGCCACGACGTAAGAACACTGGGGCGGGAATTTCCTAGAACAACTACTGGCTTGTATTTCAATGTCTGTTTTATTGTTTACCGTTTCCTGTTTTATGGTATGATGATAGAGACCACAGTGCAGCCAGCTGATTTGCATATTTGACTTCTAACTGCAGTAGAAGACAACGAGGCGGGTTTAAAATTACATTAGAGTCCCATATCAGAAAACATTTAATAATGCATGGTGGGGTTTTTCCTTTGGCTTCCATGTTGTCCGTCTGTTGGTCAAACAGCGTCTCCTACAGATCAAACAAAAGAGAAAACAGCCAGCAGAGGCGAAACTTGCCCAAATGTATAGAGTCGCAGTGTTGTTTGTTTGTTTATTTGTTTTTTTTCCATGGAACATAAATATCCAAAACTCTCAGAAACAGTATTAGAGTATTTGTAGTCTGCATGGTACAGCAGTGCTGACTCAAGTGAAGTAATCTTATGCATACAGCACTTCTGGTCAGTTTTGAGATTTTCGGATATTTTTACATCAATAACATTTTCTTTATTTTAGACTTTTTATATACTTAGCTGTTTTTTAAACCAACTCTAACGGAAATTCATGCAACGTAGTGCACATGTAATGAGATAATACGTAATATCCATTCAGGAAAGGTGCAATACAAGAACTTATTTTCTTAATTTCACTAATCAGTTGGAAAAGTTTCTGGGTGACATCTTTTTTGTTTTCATTTTTATCTGTAAAAAGTAGTTTTACAATAAAAATGCCTGGAGTTCTAATTTAGAAAACCCTTTTTTTTTTTTTAGGGTTGCTTTCGCAGAATAATATTCTTCCGCCAACTCTGATCCAGGTTTGAAGGGTTTGGTCATATGTCATTCACAGCCTAATTTATTGAAAATTTCATTTTTAAAAACATTTTTTTCCCTTTCCATACTGACATTATTTTCAGAATTATGGAGTGGCTTTGACTCTCGTGTCAGTAAAATGAAACAAGAATTTTAAATATGATTTTATCCAATGTTCAGAATTTTGTTCTGAAAATGAATACAAATTCTAGCATTTTAGGATATGTCAAGGATGTAGGTCTGGGAAATGTTCTGCAAGCAAAACCCTTGATCCTTAAGACTATAGTTCCACAAATGTCTCTTGAATCTCTAGACAGCGGGTGTGCCAAACCTTCGGCAAGCATACCATGAACTTCCAAAATGTAAGTCTAGGAAATGTTCCATAAAAGTTCTGGGAACCTTAAGACTAGTTCCATAAATTTCCTGAAAACTTCAAGGCTATAGGTCATGGAAAGGTTTCGCAAATGTCTAGCAAATCCCAAGGTCGTACATCTGCAAATGTCCTGCTAACCTCAAGACTGTAGGTCTGCAAAACATTCAAAAATGTCCCACAAACCTCAAGATTGTAGGTCAAGGAAAGGTTCGGCAAAGCTCAAGACTATAGTTCCATGAAATGTTCTGCAAATGTTTCTTGTACCCCATGACTTTAGGTCAAGAAAACGTTCCCAAACTTTGTGGCAACCTCAGGAGTGTAAGTCCAGTGAAGGTGCAAACTGCCCAGAAACCTCAAGACTGTAGGTTCAAGAAAAGTTCCGCAAATGTTATGCTAACCTCACCACTGTAGGTTCAGGAAACATTTAATAAATGTCCCACAAACCCCAAAACTGCAAAAGTTCCACAACCTTCTCGTGACCCTTAGCTCTGTAGGTGTTGGAGAGATTTTACAAACGTCCCAGAAACCTTAAGACTGTAGGTTTTGGGGAATGTTCTGCAAATATACCTTGAACCTTGAGCCGCTGGGAAACACTTCTGAACGTTCCACAAACACTCAAACGTGCCTTAAACCTCAAGACTGTAGGCCCAGATTTTTTCCCAGAAGCAAATCATTTGCAGAAGAAGAAAGAATGAGGTGCAGTGAATGCTCCCTTAATCCTCAGCAAACATTCTCAGATGGTTTCCTGAAGGTTTCATTGTTTATTGGGTGATCACTTTTAACACATGTGGCTTTTGCAGCAGAACACTGAACCCTGGTGGACATCAGACAGGTTCAGTGTATCTGCAGCAGGATTCAGAACGTTCCGACTCTGTAGTTTAGGGCAGGAGGTCATGAATAATGTAGGTGTAGAACATACAGGTCCTTGGCGTCCCTCAGCCTGTTCATGGTACAAATTGAACCTCTTTTCCGTGAGCACAGACACCATTTATCTCTGTCTCAGTCACCAGGGGGATGGCGTCCATCTTGTCGGAGGTCATGATGTATGTCTCCATCATTGGGCTGCAGTTATGGCTGGTTGTTGAGATGATCTACTGCTACAGGAAGATTTCGGCAGCCGGTGAAGAAGCTCTGAGAGAGAGCGCGTGAGTAAAACACTGAGCAGCCGGCGTCTCTCCGGCGGCTGACCTTCGTTTCCAGATCCTGCTGGGTTGCCCAAATGTCCTGGCTTCCCACCAAATGCTTTCACTCTTGTTTTTCCTTCTTACCACTGTTTGAAAAGAGTTGACACAATCTGCTCCCGTCAAAATAACATTTCCCTTTTTCCTCACTGAGCTGATATCTTGATTCACTGTTTCTCTTCTCTCTGCCCTTTTCCTTTTCCTTCAGGGCCGAGTATTTAGCTATAGCATCGGAAAGTAAAGATAATTGTGCAGGTGTACAAGTGGCAGAATAGCACTGGTAGGTCTTCATTCTCCCTACTCTTGATCTTTGAAGTCTTTGTTCTTTTTTCATGTCAAGCAGACTTTACATTTTCTTTTCACCTGCTGTTTTCATTTCATTTTCATTGTCATGAAAGGGGGGAACTGGGTCTCCAGCACCCATCTATTTTTGCTCTGTTTTTTTCTTTGAATACATCCTTTTACAAATAATTGTCATTTTAAGCTCTGAAATGGGCTGATTACATCTTGTAATCAAGTGGTAGCCATGTACTTAAGACATGGAAGATGTAATCAGACATTCCAGTCTTTTATTGCACTTTTTATATAACATATATTGCTAGCTACCAATATTGTGGGCAACAATCAGTAACCTCTGGGGCAGAAAAACAAAGCCATTACGAAAGTGTCAAAAATACAGACAAATGTGTTTCTTGTGTTTCATTTCATTAAGAAAAGGCAAATATTTGCAAATCTTTGAGAAAATGGGTGGATTGAGTTCCAGCTCTTCACAGTTAGACTGAAAAGTGAAGTTAATGTAGAAGTCCTAACAACTGCAGTTTCTCAAAGGTCCACTTGAGGCTCCAAAAGCAGCAGAAATTAACATGTTTACAGTCTAGTTAAAAAAACAAAAAACAAACAAAACAAACAAACAAAAAAAACAAAAAAAAGGTTTTGGTCCTATGAAATAAAGTTATGGACACTTAAAAGTAAATAAGCATAAATGTATGTAGCAGTTTGCCAAAGTCTGTATTCTTCATTTTGTGAATAAAACTGAAAGACTTTTACTTTTTCGCTGAAGTCCACAGTGACTTAAACACAGTTTCTGAACACAAAGTGAACCAGCAGCAAACAGCTCAGTTACAGTAAAACTAGACAGATAAACAGTTCATTGACTGAAAAAACATTCTGAGAAAGTTCTGCAAAGTTCTACTAATATTTAAAGTGGAAAGTTTTCCATTAGTTCCCAGAATGTTCCTTTTTGAAAGGGTAGGACAACTAAAGATGCTCTAAAAATGCTTGGTGAGAACCTGACAACAACAACATCTTCTGAATGTTGACATTAGACAATGATAATAACTTTATAGATACATTACTGGAAATGGAAATATTAATTCTTTGAACATTTGACTGAGATGTTGTTTCAAAAAAATTAATAAAACTTGTAGGTAATGTTAGCCAATGGTGTGGAAACGTTCCATGCTAACTGGAATGCCAAATGATAATGAGGTGCAGCCAGATCGTTCTACGCAAGAGTGTCAATCTTCAAAAGAGCTGATTTACACAGCAAATTGTTCAGTTCAGTAGCTGTCACAAGCAACACTTAGCATGTGTCCAAAATCATTCACTCATCCCTTTCTCCTTGTGTAAGAACCACGACATAGTGAACTATGTCAGGAGCTCCTCGGCAACACTTACATTTCGGACAACACGCGAGTCTCTGCGCTATTAATTACGTCGCTGTTGTCGCTCAGTTGAAACTATTAAAATGATGTTGACTACAGTAGTAAACTGAAATTAAAATTAATTTATACTAATTACATTTTCCAAAACTAATAAATTAAAATATTTGTTTTTGCCTGTGTTGTGAGACATCGCTCTGCTTCCAGTAAACATATCAATAAAAAAGCTTATTTTCAATTTCTATCGTTTCGAACCATGAGTCATGAATTTATCTCGTGCCTAGTGTCATTTCGACAAGCCACACATATAGAAAAGGTATATTCGGTAGAAAATACGTCTCAACACTATAAAAAAAAGCCACCAACCATCTCTCATCCATCCATTACTCTCCTTTGACACAATGCATGATGGTACATATTGCTAGTTAGTGACCATCAGCTTTACACTGCTTTTTTCACGGTGCATTGTGGGATACTTTGAGTGCACTTCATAGGGTGTAACAACTGGGACTGTTTCCGAAATCATCCACTCACTCCCTACTCACTATTTAGGGACCACTATATAGTGAACTACGTAAGGAGCACCTCTGCAAAGTAACATTTCGGACACTACTCAAGTTATTAATTATGTTGCTCGCTAGCCGTGATTTGTGCCACGTCGTCAAACACATCAAATTCACAGTTTATTGCAAAGCTAAGAAATGGGTAAAATAAAATTGAACAAAACATAACCGGACAATTACCTACATTTTAATGACAAGTTTTCACGCTCTCATTCATCTCGTTTGCGTTTCCTTTCGCGCTGGTCCATATTGCTCGGTTAGTGACCATTGGCTGTACGCTACTTTTCAGGGTGCATTGTGGGATATCTTGAGTGCACCATATATGGTGTAACGTTTCTAACTTAACAGTCGGACAGCACTACAAAATGGCGATATAGTGTGTCGTGACTGATTTCTGACACAGCCTTAATTTAAAATTAAATGGTATCCTTTCTTTGCATTTGTCCTCCAGACTCGTCCTACAGGCCACTTCAGCTTATATCATTTTATTTTTACATCCTTTGAACACATTTTATTTAGATGAAGCACTGAGATCAACACAAGGTAGTGTCATTGTGCTTTGAGAAGCTTGACTGATCTACATTATTCTGACAGTTGTTTTTCTTTTGTGTACTTCAGGTCAAGGAAGAATTCAAGGCGGCTTCCTTGAGGAGTTCCACTTTAGCGCCCTCGTCCTCCTCTCACCTCCCGCCATCCTCTCCATGAGATGGAAACATGAAGCCCAGAGAGGAGAAAGATGTTTCTGTTCAGGATGTAGAGGACTGAGCTGCAGCTCGCTGTGAGCAGCAGGACAGATGAATCAGGTTAAACAGGACGCGGGGGGAGAGTTGGACTGTATATAGCTGTATAAGTCTGCACAGATAATCTTTGAACATATGTAGAGTATATTCGAGGCCCATGCTGTATATTCACTATTTGCATGCTAAACACAACACGCTTCTGTCATGTTTTTGTCATGTGTCATTACACACCATACACTGGCATCAAAAGTCATGTGTTCCCTCTGCAGGTTTGGTGCAAATTCAAACCGTTTTCATAATTAAAAGATCAGCACTAACAGACCAACATTCACTGCTTATTTCTTGCTGTAATGGGACGCACAAACCTGTAGAGGAAACACAGCGACTGAGATTCTCACTCTGATATTTAATGTTTCATCATGATCTGCTTTAATGCCAAAAAAAAATCAGTATTTTTTTTTCTGCAGAATGTCATTAAACGCAGCGTGAAAGAGGTTCATGGCATACAGTGAGAAGAAAAACAAACTAAATTTCAGGTTCGTCACGCAGAATGTGCAGCTTCCAAACATCACCCACTTCCTGATGAAGCAGCCACATGTGCACAATCAGAGCAGATTTTAATGTAGTATCGTTAAAGTTTCTGAATTCACTCATATCATCAGATCAACGGGACACTTCACACAACTATTGAGCTCGCTGGAGGATTTTATCAGCGCTCAGATAACCCTCTGAACCACAAAAGGCATGTTACTCTAAAAAAAACTAAACAAAACTGTACTATATATCATTGTTAAAAACTGTAATAACTAAAAAACAATGTCATATTTCTAACTTTCTGACCATCCCTGCACTACTCACCTGTGACGTGCACTTCTGTCAGCATTTCAGATTAAGGTGGAAGATTACCACAAAATGACATCACATAAGGACGACAAGGAGACAAAACAAACCCACAAACAGACACAAAACGACCACAAAAAGGCACGAAAAGACCACAAGGAGATGCAAAACAACCACAAGGCGACACATTATGACCAGAGGTACAAAAACCCCAACAAAATGACCAAAGGAGTGCAAAACAATCACAAAAAGAGAATAAAAAAAGAGATGCAAAGCAATACAAAGAGACACAATATGAACAAAGAGGTACAATAACACCCCACGAAAAACCACAAAGAGATGTAAAATGACTAAAGAGACACAACGACAACTGCAAGGAGACAAAAAAAACAAACTCAAATGCAAAACTACCACAAAAAGACAAAAAAAAGACCACAAAGTGATGCAAAACAACCCAGAGGTGACACACTATGACCACAAAACTTCCACAAATTGACCAAAGAGATGCAAAATGATCACAAAGAGACACACAATGATGGCAAGAAGACAAGGTAAACATAAACAGACACGACTACAAAAAGACGCATAATGACCACAGAACAGATGCAACACAACCATAAAGAGGGGAAAAAACGACCACAAAGAGACACACAGTGACCAAAAAGAGACGTACAATGATCGCAAACAGATGTCAAACCACCATAAAGGGACACAATATGACCACAAGGACATTCTCTCTCCGTCTAGTCATGGTAGTTGTTTCTATAGAGATGCAGGACTTAATACTGCAGTGAAAAATGAGCCCACAGTGAGGACAAGTGTGACAGGAGCAAAATAACAAACAAACAAACAACAACGCAGAAACTGCTGCTTGGAGTTCAGAGGGTTAAAGTTAAATCCTGAGTTGTTTTTGTGTTTCCCTTCATCCTGAGAGCTCATGAAAACATCAAGTTGAAGCCTGACAGCGTCTCCATCAGGCCTCTGCGCTTCCAACCGTCCAACGCGAGAGGCTCATTTTGATTAGAAAACGTCAGAAGCCTCAGTGCTGAGAAACAAACCAGCGTCGTGGAAACTTTTCCACCGACACACAGTTTCACACAAGCGTCTTCGTGTCTTCGTAGAAACTCAAGGGCTTTGCTATTATCTAACTGCCGTGGGCGAATGTACCACAAAAACTGTCCAGTGTGCCTCCCAGAGCGGAAAGCAAAAGGGAAAAAGGAGCAAATCTTTTTAAAAACCAAACAGAAAGAAGCAGCTGTACTTGCTTCTTTTCCCACTACACTTGATGCAGCGGAACTCTGCCGTGCTGCATCTTTACTGCTCGTCTCTTTTGAGCAAGTTTGATAAAGTTTGAGGTTTGAGATGAGAAAGAGTTAAACACAAGTGGCCAGAGGATAACTGCAGGCGCGCTGATGACTTTTTTCAGTATAAACACAGAAAAGTTAAACATTTAGAAAGAATTTTTTTATTTTTTTATTTTTTAAAGTTCACACACTGCTTCCTAAGAGTTTTAAATCCTCCAAATAAGTCTTTTTCCTGCACAGATGAACCGACCAGTGAAACGAAGGCTTCGCTGCCCCTCGTGTTGTTTTCTTTCAGCGACAAGTAAAACCGCAGTTTTCACGTCATGTGTAGGTGTGGAAATGTTGCTTGCCAAAGCAAAAGTAACGCAATACCCACACACAAAAAAAAACTAATAAAGTTCTTCTGAGAAAATGAACCGTGTCGCCTTCCAATCTTTCCAGTCTTACATCAGCTTTGGTACATTTTCAGTTTTCAAGACAAAAACGTTTTGTTTTGTTTTTCACATTTTACTGTTAAGCTTCTAAACTTTACTGTGGTTGGAATTTCTTTCTGTTCTGAAAATGTTCTGAGCAAGTTGTGCAAAGTTCTAGTAATGTTTTCAGCAGGAAGGCTTTTCTTTTTAGGTTCCATATTGTTCTCTTAAAGGTAGAATAACATTCTCTAAAGACATAGTTACACCATTTTTCCAAATGTTGAAAACCGTTTTCTGAACATTGCAGTGAGACCCCTGCGTTTTATAACATTATCATTTATTGATTCTGAATGTTGCAGTTTATGTCTTAGTTAACGTTTAACCTCATAGGAAAATTATATCGGTCTTTAAACTGTTTTTTGAACATTACCATCTTCTTTAAAACATTATTGGAACTCGTAGGTGACGTTGCAGGGAGATTCCCTGCTAGCTGGGTTCAGTCTGTTTCCCATAAGCCCCAGAATTTCCTCTTTAGAAAGTGTTGCTGTAATTTTTTACATGTTACTGTTCAGTTTCTCTTTACACCTCAATACGACGTTCTTACTTGGTTATGATGAATCTGCTGTCCTGGCAACGTTCTCAAAACATCCTCTGAATGACCCAAAAATGAAACAATTCCTGTTTTTTAGCTTCCCAGAACACAAAATTTGACTAATCTACAGCTCAATAGTGTGTTATCGAAATGGTTTTTTTTTGCCTCAAACTGTACCAGCAGCACACGGATGTACAACAACACCAACACTTCCTATTAGGACTTTATCAGTGGGTTTATTCCTTCTGCTTTTCATTGGTCACCGTGATGTAAATTAGTTTGTTTTACGTTACTGTAACGTCAGCTTACTGATGTGTTGGTCTATAATAAATACGTATTAAAGAGCAGCAGCTAACTCACCAGCACGACCATCGACGGTTGAGCTCTACATCAAATGACAAGGCCTCTACGCCATCAGTCCCTCTTAATCCTGCTTCACCTCCATTTCCCCTCCTAGTTGAAGAGCTCTTCTCCTAAAGGAACAATCAAGCAGCCACCTGTGGGGAGTGGGCATGGCCAGAAAAAAGCTGTTGGTTTTTAAAGGGCCCATATGGGGAAAATCCATTTTATTGTGTTTTGTGGTTGTTAAAAACGTGGAGATCCATCCATCCATTATCTATATACCGCTTAATCCTTACTAGGGTCGCGGGAGGGCTGGAGTCTATCCCAGCTGACTTAGAGCAAAGGCAGGGGACACCCTGGACAGGTCACCAGTCTATCAAGGGGCTACACTTAGGGACAGAAAACTAAGCACACTCACATTCACACCTACAGACAATTTAGAATCACCAGTTAACCTCAACATGTTTTTTTGACGGTCTGGGAGGAAACCAGAGTGTGGGAGGAATGCAAACTCCACACAGAAAGATCCCGGTGCCCCCACCGGGACGCAAACCGGCAACCTTCTTGCTGCGAGGCAATAGTGCTAACCAACTGCGCCACCTTGCAGCCCTAAATTTGGAGATGTAAAATGAAAGCTGTTGAGATATGAAGATGTGTATTTCTGATACTCGTAAATAGATAGCCTTCCAGCGTTCCAGCGTTACAAGCCAGTAAGAATTTTATTCAGTTTATATAAAGAAATTGAGGAACAGTGGTCCAGCTTTGTATAGCCCTGCCCCCTCACTGCTTCCAGGTGAACCATTCAGAATAAGCAGCTGATGAACAGTCCGTCAGGTTTATTTAGGCCATGTTTACACATAGCCGGGTATTTACAAAAACGGATCGAGGTTTTCAAAAATAACATTGTTCACATCAGATCGTTTTCAAAAAAACTTTGTTTACACAAACCCGCATAAGCTGCTATGAGCATGCCAAACCTATAGGGGGCAGTGTAACAGGAAGCATGAAGCCATGCTAGCCAATCAGAACCCTAGAAAAAACACAACAAACGGCACAAATTACTTCCTGATACTTCAACGATAACGGTGCGAGGGTCATTTGTTTAGACTGACAGAAAAGTGAAGCTACTCCTACATGTGGTGTTCGAGTACAAAACAAGTAAAATACTTGAAAATATTGACATTCTATCACAGTAGCCAAACTGTAAACATAGGTTGCACACATATGATGCTGATGAGGCTTTTGTCGCATACTGTGACGTCTCACTCTGTCTCCTCCTGTCTACATGCAAACATAAAGACAGAGTTTTTCCAAATCTCCACTGTGGCTGGAGTTTTCAGACATGATTGTTGTCGTTGACTTGTGTCTTTGTTTACGTTTAAACCAAAGGACCAAATGTGTTAATATAGCACTGTTTTTGCTACGTGTAAACAGGGCCTTACTTTCTAGAGCTGTTTCTGCAAACTCTAAAATGTCTGTGCTACAACCAAAGCTCCCCAAATGTTTTGCTGTTGGCTGCAAGAGTGAACACAAGAGTCTTCATGAACTCCCAGCAGCTGAAGACCTAAACACCTGGGGCCTGTACTACAAAGCAGGATCTGGGGTTAGCGAAGTAACTTCAGGTTAACTCCTGGGTTTTCGGTCCTACGACAGTGGTTCACCTCTTACCAGGGGACATCACAATGGTAACTTGTGCTGAACAGCTAACCTGCTCCACAGCAGATTATGTTGGAGATTGAGATCACTGGGTATAAAAACACTGCCCACTGAAAATCAGTTCTCTCCCATAAAACTTCAGAAGGAGCAGAAAACGAAGCAGTTCTAAACAAAATGGCATCACCAGCATTTATTGAAGCCCCGCGACACATCGGAGCGTGAACTGTGAGTGATCACTGAGGACTGTGAGGGTTTTTTCAGGACCGGCAAAACAGCACACCCTGATGAGGATTTCTATGACCTCCTGTCTTCCTTCATTCATTTTTTCCCCCCCTGTTGACAACAGGCAATGTCAAAACTATTTCACATTTTTTCCATACCAATATCATCCCACAACAGCAAACTGACTTTAGCATTAAAGCTTGTATTTGTTGGATACGGTAATAAGTTACACCGCTTTGAATTATGTTTCTGTTTATTCTTAATTTGTTCCCACGTCCTTTTAACACCGTCAGGGTTGCAGCTGAAAGTAAAAAAAATGTCAGATATGCCAAACATACATACAGGCAACAAATTAGTTAAAAGGAATCCTCAGATGTGCTTATTGTCAGATACGTGCCTTCATGATGGAACAGTGATCATATTTTATCATATTCTAAACACAGGCAGCAGCTTCCTGCCAGCATTCCTTCCTGGCTTTGGCTGCTGCAAAGATGCTGCTTTTTGCTCCTATGATGTTTTTACATTATTCATATTTTGCAAAGATTATATTCTGCTCCTCGAAGGTGAAGTGAGCCGCTCTGCAGCCAAATCAGACAACCCTGGGTTGACTTACCGAGTTGATAACCACCATC